TTATAGAAAGTACATCCTTTGTTCTTTGAAAAATGTTACTGGGTTCCTCCAGAAAATCCTATATTTTCTTATTAGTTGAATGGAATGTAGTCTTAGTACCTTAAGACAAAAATTTGTATAAGTTTCTCACACTTAAAGAATGATGCTTTGAAATTATGTAAGTAATCGTATCTATTTTCAGAAAATCCTATATTTTCTATAGAGGTGAATTGTGGTCTTTAATGTTCCAAGACCGAAAGATGTAAGTATAAATGCCATACTTAGTTTGATAACATGTAGTTTTATTAATTAAAACTAGTTTGAATACGTGTTTGCCCTGTAAAATGATGTATATCCTGGAAAGTCCTATATTTTCAATGAGTTGAGTTGTAGTCTAATGTGATCCAAGACCGAAAAGTACAAGTATTTTCAATACTTAAAATAGTTATATCTAGTTTTATTTATATATAAAACTATTTGAAGAGATGTGTTTTCACATAAAAATCCATGTATAGTCGTTTATCATGTGAGTTTTCATAACCGTGCTAACAAATGATTTGCCTGTCGCGACGTTCTTCAAGCGTCGTTATGTTTGATATTTGTCACCCATAACCTGTCGGTCATGCTGTAGCTAACAGCCAGGGTGTGGGGTCATCAATCCCGTATAGATCTATACACATGTATCACGCTCTCTGGAAGGAGACTCAGGTTATAAAACAGGACTTGCTGGTATACCTTGATAGGTACGACGAAGACATTGGCTCACAAATTTACAACGAATTTACGTGTTTTTGACCTGTAAGTGCTCGTGTTACCTTTTTTGTTGTGTTTATAAAATATAAAAATAACTGTATTTTATATAATTGTTTCTTTGACCCGAAAGGGTAAAATGATGTGAATGATTCTCAAACTATACCTAATATAGTTTAAAAGATATTATTCCGTTGAAAATGATATTTGTCTCGTTTGAACGTGTTTTGCATGTAATCGTTTATAAATAACGTTGTTTCGCATATTTGATGTTTTCACGTAATAGATACATAAAACGTAAGAAAACATAAACAGTGGGTTGTATTTTAACACAAGTTTCCTTGTGTTTTACCTGTAGTCCCCCCCCCCCCCTTAAAACATGGAAAAAGTTATAAAAAGTGTAGGGGTATAAACTCACTTGATAAGGTCGTGATTCGGATAGCATTTCGTTTCTAGAAATGATTTTTCTTGACGAAATCGTGAGTTTCTGTTGAAAACCGGGCTTTACGCGGGCCGAGTTTCAAACCGAAAAGACTCTTTTCTCGGGGACTTCAGGTGCTCCCGGGCTTGCTTCGGGTGTTAGGGAGGTTCCCTAGGCTTCGGGGGGGGGGGGGGGGGGGTGTTACGATAGCTTGAGAAAGAGTTTAGGGTGTAAAAGTGTGAAATTTAGTAAACAAAATTGGGAGGTCTCGCAGGGTATTTATAGGGAGGCTTCTGACCTCGGTGCGCAGGGCGTTCCTGCGAGGAGCGCAGCGCGTTCCGGAACGCATGGTGTTCCTTCGGGCGTAGCGCGTAGGAGCGAGGCGCGTGTCTGGTAATCTGAGGCTCATACGTGTCGTTCATGCGAAGGTGCTAGGTGGCTGACTCCGGACAAGGTGGACCCGCGTTCCCTTCGGATAAGCTTCAAAATGTGTGCCACAGACTTCAAAAATTCATAACTTTTGCATACGAGCTCCATTTTCGACGTTCTTTATATCCACACGTAGGTGAGACCGTACTCTACGACTTTCGTTTGAAATTCGTCGGCTAATTTTGAATTTATTTTTAATGTTATATTTTTAATTGGCCGGGATAGGAAAAGTCCGTTAAAAATTCATAACTTCTTCATCCAACATCCGTTTTCATCTGCCTTTTTTACCGTTGAACTACTATTGACAAGATTTTCGATTCTCGTTTAGGTTGTGCTGACTAAAAATCGCTCGATCTATAATTTGAATTTTTGGTTGTTCTTTTTATGCACGCTCTCGGTTTAACGTATGTTACAACTTTTGTTTAGATACCTAAGGCTAAAAAGCATTCGATTGTAAAATCACTTTTTACGTCACACAGCGTTGTGTCGGTTCTGTCGCGAAACTTCGATAGGTCATAACTTCTTCGTTATAACTCGGATTTGGTGTTCTTTATATTTCTGAAATCCTTGTCACGACCACTATCACTTTATTCATACAAATCAAGTTTATCTAACATTTTATTTTTGACGTTTATTTTCATCTTATTTGTTTGATATCTTTATTTCTTCAAAACGAGTTACAATGGTTGATCTAGACTTTAACATTGAAAATTTACAGGTACATGATTGAAGTTTGGACCTTGATTGTTTTAGAATTTTTCCAGTTGTGACAAAATCTCTCAAACCAAGGCTCTGATACCAGCTTGTAACGTCCCAAAAATTATGAGGTAAAATTTTTATTTTTAGTTCAACCAAAACACCAATTATCTTTTATTTAAACATTTAAAGTGTAACATAATAAAATAGTCATCAGAGCACAATCCCAAAATCATCATATTGCGGAAACATGGGTGGATGCGCTACGATCACGCCGGACCCTTCTTTTTCGAACCGAAAGTACCTGAAACCATAACCATAAAAACCGTAAGCATAAAGCTTAGTGAGTTCCCCAAAATACTAAATAGCATACATACAATAGAGAATGATATGTGTCAACCATGGTCTTGTCATTATGCCACGAGTTGTATCATGGTCTTTCCTTGCCAGGGTGGGGGCCAAAACCATGGGTCTTACAGACAGGTGCCAAGAGCCACCTCCTGGTCTTCCATGCAAGTATCACAAAGACAACTAACATACTATTTATATATAACTATCAACCTATCTGCCAGGGTCTAATCTCTAGTCTTGCATACAATTTGCTAGGAGCCGCCTCCGGGTCTTCCATACAAATGCCAAGGGTCACCCCTAGTATTGCTATAATATATAAGCCAATGGGTCGACATTGGTGCCTTCGACCCATCATACAGTTAGGAGGCTCACCTCAAGCTGCTGAATATCTCAGATAAAAGCTCAGACTGTTGATCCAGAAAATCCCCGCACTAGCATCATCTAATAATACCCAATTAATAATTAGTCTACAACCCAGAAGTTAAAATCCTAATCCGATTGTCCAACACTCATGGTAAAAGTCCATTTTACCCTTTCCTCACTTGGTCCAAAATTTGAGGCCCAAACCACTAACACTAAAAAGCCTAATACGACCCAACTTCCTAATCGGGCCCAAACCCATCATGGGCCTAATCCAAGAAGGCCCAAATTCCTAAAAGACACCCAAAGCTCCAAACGGGCCCAAGCACAAGAAGGCCCAATGACAGAAACTACAGCCCAACAAGGCCCAAAAGCCCAAAATCACATCTCACGTCGTGACCAGTCCTTGGTCACGTGGTGAGAGCTTAATCGATCTGATCCCAACTCATCATGACTCAACCTAGCCAACTCAGTCAATGAATGACACCTGAGCTAACCTCACGACGTGGGCAGCCTTTCCTCACGCAGTGAGCCCCAATAAGCTCATCAGAAACAGGATCAACCACTCCTCACGTCGTGAGACCTTGTGTCTCACGTCGTTAGAACAGTCTGAGGCCAAAATCCAACTTTTAATTCCTTAATCCATTAAGCATTGAACCCTAACATTCCAGAAGGTCTTATAACCTCTTGATACACTATAAAGTCGATGCCTTTAAGACATATATGTCCAATACATGTCTAGATCTCATTTAGATCCAAAGTTGAAGAAAAAGGCATCAAACTTTCATGCAAGGTTCCAAAACTCAACCATTCCCTAGATTTGAATTCCAAGACATCCCTAAGGCCCTCATAACCCATAAAGTTGCCAACTTTATGGTTTCCATTCATTCAAACATGCACATCTAAGAAGAAAAGTGAGACTAAACTTAGATCTAGCCGTATATAACCATAAAGTTAGGAGCTTTATCACTTACAATGGTCCAGAAACAATGTAAGACGTTGTTGATGATGATTCCTTGCAAGCCACAATACAAGACCACCTTCTTCTTCTTCTTTCCTCCTTCTTCTAACCCAAGAAAAGCTCTAAAACCACCAAAGATCAAGCAAGGATGGGCACTAGGGTTTTTCTGAGGTGAAAGAGGGTTTGGGGCTGATAAGAAACCCTAACATGAGGTTAGAGATGCTTAAATATGAAGGAAACCCTAAAAGATCATGGGCTTGGGCTGCATCGCTCCTCACGTCGTGAGCTCTTATTGCTCACATCGTGAGCTCAGTCCCGTACAAAGGTCTTCATGCAACCCATCTCACGTCGTGAGCCTCTATGTCTCACGTCGTGAGGCTCCTTTTTCTCCAAAACTCAACCTTTTGACTCCTTGAAACCCCAATCTGATTCGTTCAGGAAAACAGGTGTTACACAATTGTCTTCTTCGGGAAAAATGGGTCATCATGTTGGAACCATCATTCACATCTTTTCCTCCCTAATATCTTTGGTGACACCTCTGCCACCAACCACTATTCACTTATGGCTAGTCATTGTCGTTCGCCTCCGACCAGCCACCACCGTTCATCACCTCTAACCAACTACCATCGGTTACCATTAAATCAGATGAAAACATAACCAAATTTTAAAACAAAGCAAATCAAATCAAAATAGAAAAAACAAACCCCATGTAATCTAAATTAGAACCCCTTTCAAAAAATGGTTCCACATTTAAAGGTGGACTACAAAACAAACTAAACCAAAAAAACCCCTCCAAACAATGGTTTTAAGAATCAAAATCAAACCCCCTTTTCGTAGTCTAGGCTTCTTTTTGCCGGTTATGTTTAGGTTCTTCTTCAAGTAGATTTGAGATTGATGGCAGTGGTGTTGTTAATAGGGCTGGAGCTGGATCTTAACAGTGGCGACGATGGATCTTAACATGGGTGATGTTGTATCTTAGAACAGTGGAAAAAGAAAAGGACGATGGCGGTGATGTTAGACAATGATGAATAAATGGTGGCTTGCTCGTTAGAGATGTCGTCGACGAGTATGGCGATGGTGATCGGTGGCTGCTTTTGCCATGGTAGGTTTATGCCATAGAGAAACACGAGAGATAAAGAGAGAGACGCTGAGAGAAGATGATAAAGGGTGTGAGGTGAGGCCCACCCTAATTTGGTCTTTTATCAAGGACAAAAGACACAACAAAATAAAACTATAGGGGGCATTTGAAATGCAAAAAAAAAAAAAAAAAAAATTTGACCAAACACACAATTTTGTCAAACGAGATGATTTTGGATAATTTTTTCATTTATTATACATACTTCAGCCTTGTTGAAGCCTATGCATGTAAGAATGTTTGTGTTCCCCAAAACTATAGAAGATGCGAGATGGTTCTCCATTGTAAATTGCCTATTTTCCCGCCAATATTTCCAAATCTTCACTTCTCCCAAATTCGCCTGATTGTTCACGAAGAAATCTAGGGTTTTCCTCACGGTTGTGCTCTTCTTGTTCAAATTAGGGTTCCAGGAATTGTTCTCCTACTGCGGAGAAATGCCGCCGTTAAGCTGGAGACACCATACGCTGATTCAAGCTCTGCTATCCCGTGGTCCACTCAAGGAAAAGGACTTTGACGCCATATTTTCCGATGTCACCGGCAAAAGCTTAGGTTCTTACACTGTTTCCCCTATATGCGATATCCTTTTTACTTAATTTTTGATGGATTTCTATCTTAGGTTTACGCGTATGTTTACTTGTGTGTAGGAGGTCATTTTTTTGATTTGTATGCTCACTTTATCGGTATGAAATAAACAGAATTAACACTTTCCTACTACCTACAAAGTAAATTTATAAGAAAGTATTACCTTCCTGTAGACGTTATCGACGATTGAAAATCTCTTTAGCAGAAATGAACAGGACACTTTCTCATTTGATTGCGAAATGTTTTGTGTTCAAGTTCAAAATTGTTGTGGCCTTTTAACTCTCTAGAACAGATTCTTAACTACTTCAAACATTTAGTATGGACAGACTAAGAATTTGCAGCAAAGTTCATACCAAGTTTAAGGTTGATTTCAAAAATCAAACTACTGTCTCTTCTGTTGATAACAGGAGTTATAATCATCCCATTTTCAGATTTCAGATGTGTGTATGGAACAGAATAATAACTCATCTGCTATATATAAATCACCTATTCATTCTTCTTTCAGATTCCCATCAACAATTGTTCAATGAGTATCTTCGAAAGATAAACATGGAGCTATCTTATGTCCAGTTTGAGCTACGAGCATGCAGAAACCAATATGACAGTGGTGTATTTTATGGAGTGGTCAACACTGTTGCAGATGAGCAGTCAAAGCTTGGTTCAAAATATACTGTTCCTCAAATTGCTTTCTATAAAGCCATTGTAAGCTGCCTTTCACTTCTAAATTCACCAATTTCCATTGCTGAATCTCATGTATACTTCATTGCATCTTGTGAATTATAGTCTTTGGGAATTGTGTATGAATCATGAGGTGAAATGACATGTAATGATTGGTTTAAAACAGATTGAAGCCATTGTTCTAGATCACACAGCTCAGGGTACCATTTCCAATATCAAAGCCCTCAATATTCAGCTAGAAAATCAGGGTTCTTCTTCATCTCAAGTCCCTACAGCTTTCAAGAATTTTTCTATGACACAAAAGGAAAAAACCATACGGGAATTGGTGCATGACCAATGGTTATGTGCCACGTCAGATGGTGATATTGGACTTGGTGTTAGATCATTTTTGGATCTCAGGAGTTGGTTTCATAACAATCAAGTTCCTCCTTGTGATGTTTGCAATGAATCTGGAATTAAGGTTTGTTTATTCATTTATTTAATCCCTTATTCCCTTTTTTATAAAATCATTATACATTTCTCATAATGTAAAATTTTTTATTTTTTTTTTAATCATCAGGCTGATTTGTGTCCGAATGAAAGCTGTAGTGTTAGAATTCACAAATACTGTCTACAAGCAAAATTCTCTCAACAAAGGGTATTTATAATTTATTTATTTATTTATATAATTAGTTTGGTATATTAATATTAAGTTATTAATATTAATTCAGATTGAAAAAGTTTGCCCTGGATGTGGGACCCAATGGCCATATGTAGTAATGGCAAAAGCAGAAGTTATTGAAGAAGAGGAGACAGCTGTCAACCAGCCTCCTCCTCGTGGGCCCCACATGCGAAAGAGGCAAAGAAGCTCGAGACATGTTGAAGAGGGAGAGAGAGAGTCAAATAGTCAACCCTCCGGGAGACAGGTGGCTGTGAAGGTTGATTATGATGACAATGGGTTTGTTCCATCTCAGCTGCCCGGGACAAAGCGGGCAACCCGAAATTCTGCCCGGTTACATCGGTGATTAGTTTGTATGAATGAAATGTGTAGTTTTTGAAAGACTCAAAAAAACCATGTCAGCTTAAGGTCTTGTTGTTCTTTTTGTTCTCTATTAAGTGCTGTGTGGATTAATTGTTGAATGGGTAAATGATGTCTTGTGTATGTTTGTAGTGAGTACTTATGGATGTGTTTTTTTTTTTTTTTTTTTGTATATTTTATTTAAGGTTTAAGATTGTTTTTGGGAAATGTATTATTTCAACTGTCTTCGTGTTGTCAACAAACCTAAAAAGTGTTATAAAAAGGTTAACAATCTATGTTTTTTTTTTTTTTTTTTTTTTGTATTTCATATTTATATTTTTTGGTCCAAACTTTAAATTTTATTACAGATATGGTACAAGTTATTTCATGGGTCGTATATAATAATGGTTACCAACTATTTCCTCCCATTTTTGGAAGTTTTGTTGTTTCTTTTATCATCGTAAATAAAGGAAAAATTATTAGTCGATATATATTAGATATATATTATGTTTTTATTGTAAATATCTTTTATTATTTTGATGTATACGTGTTTCCATAGTTATAGATATGATTGTATTGTATATATCCCTTATGGGAAATCAATGTAAATCAAGGAAAGAGAGTTTCTGACTTTCATGGTATCAGAGCGCAGTCGCCCTCTACCCTAGGAAACACATTGCCGCTGCCTGTTCGCAAGCCGCCACTGCTACCTTTCCTTCCGGTTCTTGATATCGATGGGTGATGGTTCTAAATCACAGCCGTTAGCGGCTACTCTCCACCCTGTCTATTCTGTAACTAATATCCAACATAAAGTCAGGATATTGGATGGATCAAAGGTTTCTTATGCTACATGGGTGAAGCTCTTTCGCCTCAATGCTACTGGGTACAAGGTACTCAATCACATTGATGGAACACCTTCACCAGCTCCCACCGACCCGAGTCACACATCATGGAAGGAGATTGATGCAATCGTTTTACAGTGGATCTATGCTACACTGTCAGACGAATTGCTTGTACGGGTGCTAAAGACTGAATCTACTGCATACCAGGCCTGGAATAGAGTGAAGAACATCTTCCACAACAACAAGGGATCAAGGGCTGCTGCACTTGAACAAAGTTTGTCAATCTCACGCTCCGCTCCATGCCCTCCCTCGAGGCCTATTGCCAACGATTGAAGGAGATTGCTGACAAACTCACCGACATAGATAACCCGGTTACCGAGACCCGATTGGTTCTTTAACTTGTTCGTGGTCTTCCCCCTGAATTTGATGTCACAGCCTCTCAAATCAATCATGAATTGCCTTTATGGGAAGATGCTTGTGATATGTTGGACCATGAACAACGACGCCAATTGGCCCGTGACTCTGCTCATATCCCATCACCTGTCATCGCAACCGTCTCGCGGGACCAACCGACACCGGCTCCTGCCCCTGCTCGTCGTGACTCAGCTCATCGCAACAACCAGCGCCGCCCCTCCGGCCGCCGCAATCAGCCACCATCAAACCAATTTGGCTCACGACCTTCAGGTCCCAGGTCTGTTGCTCCTTATGCAGTATCGCCACCACCTTGGGCAGCCCAGTACTCCCAACACCAACAGTGGGCCCCATGGTGGGCAGCTCCACCACCATGCCCATATACTACTCAATCGGGCTGGGCTCAACCTCCTTGGGCCGCAAATGCTCCACCACCTCCGCAGACCGCAAATGCTCCACAAGTTAATCTCACTGACCTTAACCCCTTGGATGTTAATGACCTGGGTCAAGCTTTCGGGGCTTTGAATGTTCAACCAGAAACCTATAATCAGTGGTTTATGGATTCGGGAGCAACAAACCACATGACATCTCATGCAGGTATGGTTACTATTCCTTTCTCTGTTACTTCTACTAAGTCTATATATGTTGGTAATGGTCAGTCGCTGCCAATCCAAGGATCTGGCAACACCTCCCTACCATCATCTTCCAAACCATTGCATCTCAAAAACGTGTTGTTTTCTCCTCAAATTATCAAAAACCTTATTTCTGTTAGACAATTTACCACTGATAATTGGGTTTCTTGTGACTTTGATCCTTTTGGCTTCTCTGTGAAGGACAACCAAACTGGGAAGATCCTCAGCAGACATGATAGCACAAGCCATCTCTATCCGTTCACCTACACTTCCACTGCTTCCGCCTTTGTTGCTGATAACAACTTTCCATGGCATGCTCGTTTAGGACACCCGGGACATCATGTTATGGATTATCTTCGTATTTTTAATTTTATTCCATGTAATAAGACTTCCAGTTCTACTCTTTGCCAATCTTGTCAACTTTCTAAGCATAAACGTTTACCTTTTCATGAATCACAATCTATCACCTATTTACCTTTTGATATTATACATTGTGATCTATGGACCTCCCCCTTGTTAAGCCATGCTGGTTACAAATACTATATGGTACTCATTGATGATAAAACTCAATATACATGGGTTTTCCCCTTAAAATACAAGTCTGAAACATTCACTAAATTCGTCGAATTTCATAAATATATTCAGACACAATTTCATACCAATATTAAATCATTCCAATGTGATTTAGGCGGAGAGTTTGATAATATACAGTTTAAGACCTTTTCTAACAGGCATGGTCTTCAGTTTCGGTTTTCCTGCCCACAAACCTCACAACAGAATGGCAAAGCGGAACGCATGATTCGTCGCCTTAATGAAATAATGCTTTGCCTTCTTACTCATGCTTCGATACCTCCATCTTATTAGGTCGAAAGTCTTTTCACAGCCACCTACTTACATAACATTCTCCCTACCAAAACCTTACAAAACCACACACCTATCTCCGCTCTCTACCTTCGACACCCTGATTATGAACACTTAAGGGTCTTCGGGTGTGCATGTTATCCAAACCAAACAGCTACCAGACCACATAAGCTAGCCCTTAGATCCACACCATGTGTGTTTTTAGGTTACCCAACCAACTTTCGTGGATACAGGTGCCTTGACCTCACTTCCGGAAAGGTCATTTTCTCGCGCCATGTCACTTTTGACGAATCTATTTTCCCTTTTGCAACTACACAACTTGCTAAAGACTACACTTTCCTTGACACCGAACCCTCTCCTTTCTTCTTTCCAACCACCATACCGACCCATCTACCTCCCACTGTCCCAACTCAGTCACCACCTTCATCCCCTCAACCCTCTCCCACATCCCCCACTTCTCCTGCTACAGACACCCAACACAGTCCCCCAACTCCTCCTGCCAACACTAGCCAACCATCTCTCCAACCTCTAAAATTCACCTACCATCGACAACCTAGAACCGGTGCCACCCTTATTCCACCCGTCAACAGTCACCCTATGACCACCCGTATCAGGGACGGTACCTCCAAACCCAAACTACCCTTAAATCTTCTTACTCACAACACCCAATCCATTTCTCCATTACCTAAGACATACATTGCCGCACTCAATGATCCAAATTGGCGCAACGCCATGACCGACGAATATACGGCTTTATTAGATAATAACACGTGGGAATTGGTACCTAGACCTGCTAATACTAATGTCATAAATTGTATCTGGTCGTTTCGTCATAAATTTCATGCTAATGGTACTTTACAAAGATATAAGGCTCGTTTAGTCGTAAATGGAAGATCACAACAGGTTGGTATTGATTGCGATGAAACTTTTAGTCCGGTTGTGAAACCCACTACCATCCGGACTGTTTTGAGCCTGGCTGTTTCAAGATCTTGGCCAATCCATCAATTGGATGTCAAAAATGCTTTTCTGCATGGAGATTTAAACGAGACGGTATATATGTCCCAACCTCCAGGTTATGTTGATAAAAATAATCCATCATATGTGTGCAGGTTACGGAAGTCTCTATATTGCCTCAAACAGGCCCCCAGGGCATGGTACCAAAGGTTCGCTAATTACATTACTAGTTGTGGTTTTCAAAGCACTAAAAGTGATCCTTCATTGTTTGTCTACAACCATGGATCCGATATGGCTTACCTTCTCCTATATGTGGACGACATTATCTTAACTGCTTCTAATACTCGGCTCCTTCAACAGTTAAATTCACTTTTATCTAAGGAGTTTGCTATGACTGATCTTGGAACGTTAGATCAGTTTTTGGGTATTGCGGTGCATCATACGCCACATGGTTTATTTCTTTCTCAAGAATCTTATGTTGCTGACATCTTATCGCGTGCAAACATGTTCGATTGTAAACCAAGTGGCACTCTATGTGATACGGATTCCAAGCTCAGTGCTACTGCTGGTGACTTACTTACAGACGGTACTCTCTACCGCAGTCTTGCTGGTGCTTTACAGTACCTCACCTTCACACGTCCAGATATTGCTCAAATATGCCTTTTCATGCATGCTCCCCGCGAACCACATCTTGCATACCTCAAACAGATTTTGAGATACTTGAAAGGTACTATTTCTCATGGTCTCCCAATAACTCGCTCCAAATCTACCAACCTGGTTGCTTACTCTGATTCCGATTGGGGGGGGGGGGGGGGTTGTCCAGACTCCAGACGATCCACATCAGGATACTGTGTCTTTATGGGAGATAATCTAGTCTCTTGGTCTTCAAAAAGACAAAACACAGTTTCTCGCTCTAGTGCCGAAGCTGAATACCGAGGCGTTGCAAACACTACTGCAGAGACATCATGGCTTCGGAATCTCTTGACAGAACTATTTGTATTTACTCGGGAAGCCACAATCATATTTTGCGACAATGTTTCTGCCGTTTATCTTACAGGGAATCCCGTGCAACATCAACGAACCAAACATGTGGAAATCGACATACACTTCGTCCGAGATAAAGTGCGCATCGGCTCCATTCGAGTTCTTCATATTCCTGCTGACTATCAATATGCGGACATTAAAGGTCTACCTAAGCCTCTATTTCAGAAGTTCAAGTCCAGTCTTCGGATTGCTACCATCGCTCAGACTGCGGGGGTGTATTCGTCGATATATATATATATATATATATATATATTATATATATATATATATATTATATTAGATATATATTATGTTTTTATTGTAAATATCTTTTATTATTTTGATGTATACGTGTTTCCATAGTTATAGACCTGGTTGTATTGTATATATCCCTTATGGGAAATCAATGTAAATCAAGGAAAAGAGAGTTTCCGACTTTCAAAAATGTTA